TTCACCTAAAAGTATTGTAATCTGATATCAAAATAATAATAATAATAAATAAATAAATAAAAAGTATTCTAACCCATATATTTATTTAATTCAAAATTATATCATGTCCCATATATAGTTTTGATAAATTGATATATAGTTTTGTATTTTAAGTTTTAGTCAAGTTATTTTTGTTTAAGATTGCCTAGATTTAATTAATAGGTCATATTAAAAATATTACAAATAAACAATTCAATTTAATGAGTCATAGTGGTGGTAGATCAAACATAGGTTGGGAAGGAGATTCGAACTCAAAATCTTGTGGTTGTAGGTATATGTCAATTACTGCTAAGCTATGCGAAATAAAAAATAAAATTTTAAAACTTTCTAAGAGATATTATTTCTGAATGGAAGATAGCCTAATACAATTTGAACTTCACGTTTCAATTTTAGAATATATTTTATTTTATCATAAACTTACAGGCCGTTTTGCCATGAGGAGGATGTCGTTTTGTGATCATATGTCCACAAAACAATCCATTCTTGCAAATGCTGACTTTTACAAAGGAAGAAGAAAATCTCTTCTTAAAAATGTTCCTTTCACACAACATACATTTGGAACAATCTTTGCTGAATGAATCCAAAAATAAAAAATAAAAACAAAACCCTCTTTGGCTGAAAATTTTGGTTTGAATATTATTTGTTGAATTAAATATATTATATTTGTTCCTCGATTTTCGTGTTCATGTTGTGTTGCTACTTAAATTTTTAGATATTTTATTTTAGTCTTAAAGTTTTAATGAGATTTTTTTTTATGAATTATTAAAAGAAGCCAGTAAAAGCTGTGTTATATTCATTTATGTAATAGGTAAGAGATGTTTATTCTAATCGGGATGTTCATTTTTTTTTTTCATGGGACACGTCTCCGTAAGGATGGGAAACAAATTTTCCCACTGCCTAGATGAGGATGGAGACCAAGAATATATTCCTCGTCACCGTCCGCGTCAATTTTTTTTAATATCTATATATACACACACTAAAATAATTATATTGTCATATATACATATATACATACATGTATTGAAAAAAATGATCGTATTCTTATCTATCCATCGACCTAATATATATTTAAGAGAATTAGACCTCAGAAATTAAACATTAAATAAAATAATTTTAAGAAAATAATATTTATTAACAAATAATTTTAAAAATAAATGGAGAAAAATTTACCTGGGAAAACTCGATCCCTGCAAAATTTGGTGGGGAATTTCACGAGGATGAGAAATTAAATGGGTGGTGGGGATGGGGACGGGGAAGTCTTCCTCGTCCCCGTCTCGCCCCATGAACCTCCCTAATTCTAACGTTACTCAATTCAATATCAATAATTTTTATTGGATGTTGATTGTTTGAATTTTCAGTGCCACATTGGTAATGTTATATTCTTTGAAAAAAAAATATTGTCTGTCTTAATAAGTATTTGGAATTAAAAAAAATTTAATTAATTAAAGCCACATGCAGGCCAAATATTTGCCATATTAATATAAAAGTTTGTCAAATATATATACACATATTTTTAATCCAAATCTTATTTTAGTTTCTGAAATTGTGTCTCTTAACTTACAAACATTTAGTTTATTAACATTTTGTTTCA